TCTTACGACACTAAAATAAATACTACAAACTGAGAAGTAACACCAAGTGGCAGAGCTGGAGGTCACACCAAGCAGTCCTGCCCAAGCATCCCGTTCATAACACCCTCCTATTGTCTCCCTTGCAAGTGGAGATAGTGACCCGACAGATAGAGAAGATAGTGACCTGGATGTGGCTGGACAAGAGGACAGGTGCCACTCAATGTCAGGCTGAGAAAGGTGGATTATGTGGGGAAGAGGGAACTACGGCAGGATTTTTAAAAAATATATATTTATTTATTTATGGTACTGGGGATTGAACACAGTATCTATCACTCTATTGTTGCGCTACATCCCCAGTCCTTTATTATTATTATTATTATTATTATTATTATTATTATTATTATTTTAAACTTGAGACAGTGTCTTGCTTGCTGAGGATTTTGCTAGATTGCTGAGGCTGGCCTTGAACTTGTGATCCTCCTGCCTTAGCCTCTTGAGTCACTAGGATTTCAGGCAGTGTCACCACGCCCATCTGTGGCAGGGTTTCAGGGAGGAGGTCCCTGGTGGGGTCTGCAGGTTAGAAGCTCCCTCTAGCCAACAGGAAGTTGGAGTAGAAGGTAAGACTGGAGGTGGGGAGGACCTGAGCCCATGCAAGAGATGCTGGGGGCAGAGACCGGGACAGAGGCAGTGGAATGGAAAGGGACAGGCAGGCGTGCAGGGAGAGGGAGGAACAGGCGATGGCTGCTCTCACTGGGCTTCTTCTGGAAGTCCCCATGGACAGAGATGCTCCCAGAGGTCCCCTCCTCCCTGACTGGAGTCTTGGAGGAAAAGTCAAGGCACAGAACTCCACTCAGCCTCCAGGGGGCAGTGTTGCAAAGTCTTCTGAGAGCCTGGTTCTTGCTCCCAACTGTCCACAGCCTGGACTGATGCTTCCTCCCATCCAATCCCTACCCCAGCTGTGTCTCCCCTCCCAGGCTGTCTTACCACCCTCCATCAATGTACTTTCTCCAAGGACACAATTATTAATAACTGTAACCCCATGCTTGACACTTTACAATAACAATGGTACATGCATTAGCTCATGTGGTCCTTCCAAAAGAGGGGCATTTCCAATCCACTCCCCTCAGGAAACTGAGGACCAGACAGAGGACAGGACTTGAGTAATACCAGGGTATGGGGGGCAGGGCTGAAGCCAGGGCTGGGGGCCCAGCTCAGCCCAGGCCCAGTTGGAGCCCTGCGAAAGGCACAGCTTGGCAGCATCTGCAGAGCTATGGCTGTTATCAGAGACCACAGCCTCCATTTTGCCCTTGAGCTCCCTCCCACCTCAGGAAGCCCTTCCCAGTGATTTTTATTCCCATGGGTTGTCACTCAGGTGGAACTGAYCTGACAAACACCTGCTATGATGTACTTCCCCCTCACTCTCTGCTTCCAGAATTACAAGAGTCATCACCCTCACTCTCATTGCCATATTGACAATGGCTTGCATCTGCTCAGCTGTCAGAATTTAGCAAGCATTGACTGATCCATCCATCAGTTCATCTGAGCCTTGACAGCTCTGGGGAGGCATTGCACAGACAAGGGCATGGAGGACCAGAGAGGGAGAGGGACTGGCCCCAAGTAGCCCAGCAAGACCTCAGACTCTAGAGGTTAGTCTCCCTGAAGAGATAAGCTGTGCACTTACCAAGTACACAGGGAGAAGAAGATAGGGCAAGATGATGGCAGGTGCAGTCCTATCAGGAGGTTTCTTGTCTTCCTATTTGACAGAGGATGCTGAGCCTCAGAGAGCTTCTTATTGGATCAGGATGGAGCTGTCTGGTGCCTAAGCTCATGTTTTTCTGGGACACAGGGCTACCACCCCCAGGGAAGGCTGTAGAGTTTGGAGCATTGTCTGCAGGCCTTGGGGCCCAGGAGAAGGCCACTGCTGGCATGAAAGAGCCCGGGAGTGGAGGACAGCTTCCCGAAGGTGTGGGGTCCTGGGCAGGGTTAAACTGCTACAAAGGCTGGCCAGGGTGGCCAAGGTGGGTGGCGCTGTTCAACCTGGACCCCTCCTGGACCCCCACCTGGCCTGCAGCCCGCGCTTCTCACCTGTTTGGGAAACGAGCCACGTGGGGATGAAGGAGCTGGGCCAGTGAAGCGGGGAAGCCCTGCAGGCTCGGCAGGCGGGGCTGGGGCTGATTTCTCATCCATCAGCCAAGGAAACCGAAACCCGGGGAGAGGGAGACGGCAACCACCCCATGGTCACCGCACTGTCCAGGCCTCAGAGGGCAAATCTGGAAAAGGGACCAGTCGAATTAAATGAGCGCCACATACTTCCTGCTCTGACCTCTGGGAACCGCGTGTCCAGCCTTTTGCAGTCCTTGGCTGCCACCCCAGCCCCTGCTGTGTGCAGACTCGATGCAGAGCCCTGGGCAAGTCACCTCCAAGTGGCAGTGTCCTTGTGGGTGAACCAAGTCTGACATTGCCTTCCTTGGGCAGAGCCAATGAGCCAGGCAGGGGTGTCTACAGTTGGGGGTCTGAACCCAAGGTGGCATCAGAAGCAGGGGAAGGTCACGGCCCTGACCGAGGCCCTCAGTTGTCCACCCAGCCCAGGGCTCATTTATAGATATCCGCTCCGTGGCTAGCAGACCAGAGGGAAGTGGGGTCAAAGGTGCCGACGCGGCATTTTGGAGCCTTTCTCAGGAAGAAGCCTCTGGTTATTCTTCCTCTTTTCCCCCTACCCCTCATCTTCTGGGCAATCTCACAGTGACCCTCAGGACCATCCTGGAGGTAGGTAATGTGACGTCATGGTGTCCATTTAACAGATGGGAAGACTAAGACGCAGGGAGAGGTTTGTCCAAAGTCCCACGGCAGGGTTGTGGCAGAGCTGGCAACAGAATTGAGCTCTCTAATCTGGACCCAGAATCCTTCTCTTGTACCCCAAAGCAGGTGGTTCTCTAAGATGAAGAGTCTCCTATTTTGCCTGGTTTACAAAACTCACGTCTCTAAGGGGGTTGACTAAGAGGGGAAGGGCTTGGGATTTGCCAACTGTCCAGGATTTGACAACAACAACAGGCTTAGCGTGAGACACAGGGCTGTGCCAGCATCACGGAGCCCTGGGAGCTGCAGAGTTTTACAAGCCATGCCAGGCTCTGCCAGCAGCACTGGACTCTCAAAAAGGCATCAGGTTTTGCTAACTGTGGGAATCCACAGATGGCATTGGGATCCACACACATCATGGGGCCCCATAACAAGCACAGGGTGCAGCAAATGCCACATGTTGGCAAGTGGCCAAGCCAGGGTGCCAACCAGTGTGGTCAGACTTTAAGCCAGGGCCATCCACAGTGGGACCTCTCTGTGGGACTAACCCAGGACGGGTTAAACCTAAATGCCAGGATCCTTGTTCCAGTTCCACAGCTCTGAGTTCAGGAATATTCTGGTCCCAGACTATTCCATGTATACATTTTTTTTTTCAGTTTCTAGGGCCAAGATGGGGCAGTGATGCTTCCAGAAGTCTAAAAGGACCTCCCCCTCTCAAATGTGCACCTGCAATTTGAAATCTGGAAAGTTCCACCTCTACTAATCTCTATGAAGACCCACAGTGCAGACTTTAGACTGAAGGATTTAGAAAGAACTATGGAAAGAACTAATCTAGTTTTCTCAAGCAGGCTCCGTGTCTGCTAACTATTAACCTCTCTCAATGGGCATGCATTCACGTGTCTGGTTTCTCAAAGACGCGTTCATTTAAACAAACATTAGGCATTCACTGAATGCCTACTAAGTGCAGGCAGATCTGTGAGTATTTCAAGCATTATATTCCCTACTTCCTACGAATGTACTCATGCAGCCACTGGGACCCAGTGGGGCTGCAGGATGCTTGTCTATCATTGCCCCGAGTGCTGGGCTCTGAACCTGTATCCCCACCAATGCAAAGACCCTATGTCTAGAGTGGGATCTTGGATTTGGGGGAATCAAGGGTATTCCTCTGAGAAGACAACTGGAAGAGGAAGAAGCCTGGTTCTAATGTCAGAGATCCAAAACATGGTCCACAGCCAATAGCTGGGTGATCTCTGGCAAATTTCTGAGACCAGCATCCCTTCTGTAAAAGGGGAGTATACCTGCCCTGGGGGGCCACGGCCAGCCAGGGGAGCCTGGTGTAGAAGTGGCAGAGCAAACTGGAAAAGCGGATAGATTTGTTTTCAGTCTCCCTTTTCCTGAGTCCTGCCTCTGCCACTCCCTGCTGCTCCCTCTGCGCTCAGGGGCCCAGACTTGGCCTCTGTATAGCTCCCTGAACTTTCCCAACGTCCTACAAGCATGGTTATTTTGCCTTCTTTAGAGATGAGGGAGCTGATACTCAGGGAGGTGCAGGTACTGCCTGAGGCCACTTGGCTGAGACCAGACCTGCCCATCTGGCAGCAAGGCCTCCATCCTCTGTGCTCAGCCCAGAAATCTCTGGGAATCTCACAGTGGCCCTTCTGCTCCCCAACCCCTTGCATCTAGGTGGCTGTGACAGAACAGGTGGGCTGCCACTGTGCTTTCCAGGGGGCACCCAGGCTGGAGACCTGGGGGTTATTGTATGAGAGAGGACAAGAGCCCAGAAAGGATGGCATTTCAGTGTGTCGGGGGGGAACGGTTATGTGGGCTCATAACAGTTCTGCAAGGGGGACAGAGCTTAGTAGGAGATGGGGCTCAGAGGAGAGTGGGAGCGCAGTGAGGAGATGGAGGAATTGATGGTGCAAGGTGCTGGGCTGAGGGAGGCCCACCAGCACACCCGCACTCCCACCTCTCCACCTAGCAGAGCAGGGGAGGTATCCAAGGGAAATGCAGTTGCTGGAGGCTGGGGAGGAGGGCAGACCAAACCAGAGGGAGGCGGGGCTACAGCCTCCCCACACACACACAGGGGCTGGACCCAAACAAACCCAGCCTCCTCCTCCACTCTGCCTCTCCCCCCCCCCCTGCTATCCCAGCCAGAGATTGGAGGAAAACCAAAGGAGGGAGAAATAGGGCGGGGGTGGGGGTCAGGACAGACAGAGAAGGAGCCAAGGACCGGGAAACACAGGCACTTGGAGAGGGGTGAGTTTGAGTTTGAGCAGGAACCCCCAAGCCTGCCTGGAGAGGTGGCTGCTGTCTGTCCAGTGTGGCCCAAGAAGCATTGCCCAGTGCATGCGGTCCCTGACATCGACTTGTCCCTGCTGTGGCTCRCCAGTTGCTGTCCTCAGGATCCCCAGGGCAGGTTCGATTCCTTCCTCCTGCTAAACTCCAAGTCCTGAGGCTGAATTAGAGTCTGGAACTCACTGCACCCCAGCAGTCATGGGACCTAGGATAGGTAAGTCCAGGCGAGGTGAAGAAGGCGTGGGAAGTGGGGGCTGGGCATGCTGGGGAGGAGGGGCACACAGGTCTCTGCACAGAGTGAGGTGGCGCTGGAGCCCCGTGAAGGTGCAGGGTGCTCTGAATGAATGAAGCGATGGCCCAGGGAACTGGAAGAAACCCAAACAGACCGCTTGACCAGACAGAGACCCCGAGGGCGGGGAGGAGGCTGGAAGGGTAGGRTCTAGAAGCCTCCAGAAGCCCAACCTGGAGCAGGACAAGGTATACTAGGGGCAAGGGAGATGTTTCTGGAGCTGAGCGCCTGACCCAGCCTACCTCAAGCAGCAAGGAAGGACCGAAAAGAAACAAAGGGTCTTTAGCCTCTAGCCTTTAGATCCCCAGCTGGTCTCCCTGCAGAACTTACCTCTGGCCTCCTTCCCAGCTGCCTTGCCCTGGTGTGTTAGGCTCACACCCACTCAGGCAAGGGTGGACTTGTTCCCAGGAGCTCCACAGTGAGGGCTGTAGGGGAAGCCCAGGAGACAGACCCAGCCAAGGGGCRGCCCAGGGACTCCAGGTGGACGCAGCCACAGCGTGGGGACCATGGCATGGCAGGAAGAGTGGGGTGGACGCTTCCTCACGGAGAAAAGAGAATGCGGTCACATGGAGGGGGTGGCTTGTGAGGGTGGCTGGGCCACTGACTCACCAACTTCGCTGTCAGATTTGGCTCCGTATGGATGGGAGGGTTGGGGACCCGGAAGGTAGGAACTACCAGACACTGATTGTCCTGCACCAGCTCCCAGCCTCCAGCCCTACCCCGTGACTATTTTTCTGACCTCTGAAAGGCCCAGCTCTGGAATATTCTCTAGGTGCCCTCTGACCTGCCACACATGTAGCGGGAGGCTGATCCCACATCTGCCCACTGGGCTYCCAGAGCCACCTCTAGCTGTATTTTCTGAGCCCCACCTGAGCTGTGGCCAGGGTCGCCAGGCCCTCTGAAAGATGAGGGAGAATACAGGGCCTGGAGCCTGGAAAGAATCCTGGGCCCAGCTGACCAGACAGAGAAGGGCCTGCTGTCCCCCGCCCTGGTCAGACAGAAGGAGGGAGGGTCAGATGTGTCCCCACCACCAGCTGGCCTTGTGCCCTTAGGCAACATGCCGAGCTTCCCTGTCTGTGCAGGGAGGGGCTGAAGAACATAACCTCCCTGTGCTGTTCCCACGGTGTGAGCCAGAGAACCCCCTTTCCCACCTCTGCACCCTTGCTMCGGAAGGGCCCTGGTCACATCCCATTCTGGTGAAATTTGCCTTGTTTCCCATTCTTCCAAGCACCAACTCCTCCAGGAAGCCTCCCAGGKTGACTCTCCCAGCTGGAGGTAGCATTCGCCAGTCAGCATCCATATGCTCCACGACCCTCTCAGTGAGGTTCTTCCTTCCTGGCTCCCAGCATTGCTGCTAGTACTCTCTKCAGCCCATCTGTGTTCAAATGTGAGCTGTCTCAGGGCAGAGAGTGGAATGAGGGAAAGAACCAGCAGCGCTATGTTCATATCCCAGCTCTGCATTATATGTGGGTTTTTGTTGTTGTTTATTTTGTTTCTTTTTTTTTTACATTGGGGATTGAACCCAGGGACACTTTACCACATAGCTACATCCCCAGTCTCTTTTATTTTTCATTTTGAGACAGAGTCTAGCCAAGTTGCTTAGGGCCTCRCTAAGTTGCTGAGGCTGGCCTTGGACTCACGATCCTCCTGCCTCAGCCTCCCGAGTTGCAGGGATAACAGGTGTGTGCCACCACATCTGGCTAATGATTGGAGAATGAACAGGACTGAGGGGGGTTATTCACTCCCAGGCTGCACTGAGCCTTGCCTATTGGATCTTAGGCAGCTGAGAGCCAGATGTGAGCTGGCCTAGACTCATCAAAGGGTAACAGGYATTCAGTGCCCAGACTCTTTCTGTGACTTGGTTTTTCCATGGGTGCATGGATGGGGAGTGGAAGGTGGTGCCAAGTGGTCACTTGGTTCCTTTTTTTGCTGATAAACTTGGTCTCTGGAGGGAGCGGTGGCAGAGGCCTCTCCACAGTTGCAGGGCTAGGTCTTCCCATCAGTGTTGGGGACTTGGCTATCTCCGGGGTGCTGGCTTGGGCCTCAGCTGCTGCCCCTCACGCTGCAGCCCAGCACCTAAGTGCTAATGCCTGATATGATGGATAGCAATGCCCACCTCAGCACAGCAGGAGCTCCCTGGGAGTTGGGTCCTGCTTCATCCATTCCTGGGGTCCCTGAGCCCAGCTTAGGGCTGGACAGAGATAGGRTGGTGGGAAAGTGCAGTTCATAAACTGTCCTCCGCCTCTCCATGACCCCTCCCTCCCTCCAGGCTTCTTTGAAGACCTGAAGCCTGCACTGAGCCAGGCTCCTTGATGATGAAGGAGACCCAGGATGAAATCAGACAGGGATCTGTCTCCCCAGGGGCTCCCAGGGGACCAGAGAGTCAGACACACATCCATGGATAACAAAACCAAGGTTTGAAACAGGGAGGAAGTTGGCCAGCCTAGAGGAAGGCCCAATCCATGACAGCATGGGCTGGGGGTTGGGGAAAACTCCAGGAGAGTGGACGTCAATGGGGGCTTGACAGGATGCATGTTCCAGGGGTCAGAGGCATTGATAGACCTGTTTGTGGGGTGCAGTTGGAGTAGGGGAGGTCCCTGGCGATATCTCAAAACATTAAGCTGAAGCTGATAGGGCCCCATTCTATACCAAGTTAGGTATATGGACTTTGTCATTCTRTAGCAATCGGGAACTATAGAAGGTAGGCGAGGAAGGCAGTGGCCATGCTTCAGTGGCACAGGGAGTTTGGGCCTTGGGGACACTCATAAGCTCACTCTTGTGGACAGCACTTTTATGAGTACAGAGCACTCTCATGTCCATCTAACAAATGGAGAAGCCAAGGCCAGGAGGAGCCCATTTACCTGCCCCAGGTCAGGCAGCTAGTCAGTGGCAGAACYAGAGCTGTGACTGGAGCCTCCCACGGAGCCAGGGCCCTCTCTGGCCCTCTCCTTGCCTTCTTTCTTGATGAGTCTAGATCTTAATCTCCCATGTGTCCAGCTTGTGCCTGGTGGACACAGGCCGAGGGGCCAAGATCTTCAGATCTTGGAGTCTGCAGTGTTCAAATAGGTACCTGGATGACCTTGTGCCTTAGCCAGGATGGAACCTCCTGACATGAAGGGAGGTTGAGAAATATGGCCCTGAAGGAGACACAGACACAGGAGCCTGGATCACAGGGAGGGAGAGGCAGAATGGCCTTGGGTCACTGGCTGCCTGTCTCTGAGCCTCATATCCTTCTCTCTCTCTCTCTCTCTCTCTCTCTCTCTCTCTCTCTCTCTCTCTCTCTCTCTCTCTCTCCTGCCTCAGTGTAACTTACACAGTCAAGGAACTGAACTCAGAATCCACCCCTCAGGAAGCCCTGGGACACCCCGGGCTCATAGGTATTCCACCACAGGAGCCTTATCTCTTTGTTTGGGGCCTAAGGAAACTGGCCTGGGTTCCCTGAGGGGTCAGGGCTCACCCTCCCCCACRGGCCCTGCTCCCTATTTTTAAGGTCATCATGGGTCTAGATGGGGTAGCTGGAGACARAACTGGGAACAGAAAGTCCCAACACAGGGTCTGTGACCCAGCTTGGAAACCACCAGAAAGTGTCTGGCCAGACAGATCTCCCTAAAGAAGCAACAACTGGACCTCAAGCATGTCGCTGTCCTCCCAAATGACCACCCAAGGGTCCTGCCAGAAGGAATTCCCCCAGAACGACAGCCAAGCCCGGCGCCTGCTCAGGGACCCCCCTTCCTGCCTTTGACTATTTCCCCTCCACAGTGCCGGGCCGGGTCAAACTGGAAACTGGAGCCCCGAGGCCCYGCTGCCCATGCCCACCCTGTGAGCACCTGGGCAGCCCCTGCCTCTAGCCCAGGCTCTGGCCTTCTCGTCTCCCTCATGTTTAGCTCAACTCAACAATGGGCTCTTCAGCTGGGCCAGGCCTTGAAAGATAAGTGGTTTGCTGGAGAGGAAGGACATTCCAGGCTAAGGGTACGGCCTGTGCAGAGGCTTAGAAATGGGGAGGAACATGATGGATTTAGGGAATGGTGAGGAYCTATTGGGACCAGAAGATAATGTTCTCTCAGGGCAGGGAGATGAGACATGTGTAGTTCCCAGTAGCCTTGATCTTGAGACCAGGGAGTCTGGACGCCACATTGCAGGTGGGCAGGGAAAAGACAAGGGAGCCAGCCATCGTTGAGGATCTGAGGACAGCTGTGTGCCAGGCCTGGGACATTTTCCCTCAGTCCTAACCAATCCTCGATGAGACTTGCATGCTCTCAAGAGAAGAAAATGGGACTTAGAGAAGATTAAATAAGCTGCCCAGGGTCAAAAAGCTACAATATGGCAGAATAAATATTTGGATCCAAAGTCTTCYGACCCAGAGAGTTTCAACAGAGATCTAACATAATCCATCAGGACAGGTGGAGAGGACAGTCCCAGCCCTGGGGGAGCTTACCACCGAATCAAGCAGAAAGAGAAAGACATAAATAGCGAGAGAAGGACCAACTGCAGCCGTGGTAAGTGGCCTGGGAGAAGTGTGCTATGGAGGGAGGAGGCAGCTGACCTGGGCCTCAGAACTAGGCAGAGGATGGCAGATGAGGGACCCCGGGCAACTTAGGAGGTAGGGCTCAAGGCAAGGGTTAGCCACAAGAAGACTGGACTCCTGCCACCCCACAATTCTGGAGAGAGGTGTCTGCCACCATCCTGAGGGGTGGATTGTCCGCCATTTGCTGCTGGGAATATTCTTGCTTCCGAGTGCAGGCTGTGGGCATGTTAGTGCTAGAGGCTGGTGGCTTTTCAGTGACAGTATCCCCCTCCTCTGCACCTGGAACATGAGTGCAGGGTGGGTACCTCCTTCCATTCCATTCTCCTACCACTGGAGCCATGGCAAAGGTTTCTCCCTCTCACTAGGCAAGTTTGGCCACTGTGGCCTTCCCCCAGACCCC